ACTCCTCCCACTGCAACTTGGAATACTTTCCCTAAACCGCATATCTGATCATGTCTTTCTCTGCTGAGAACTGCTCCCCACTGCCCTCAAATTCAAGTCCAAACTCCTTAACAAGTCTCACCAGGCCCTTCCTAATCTGGGCCCTGCTTTCTTCTTCATTCTCATCTTTCGCCACTTCCTGCTGGAAGCTCGACACACATTCTGTGCTGTTTTCTTTTCCTTTCAAGGCATTTATACATGTTGCTCTTTCCACTTTGACAACTCTATTCTCCTCTGCCTGATGAATGTGTACTGGACCCATGGTTCTCAGACTAAACATCACTTCCTCTAGGAAGTAGGTACACACAGATACACATGAATACACACTCTCCAGCCTCGCTAACCACTCACCACTTTCTGCCATGCCCAAGGCTTCTTACAGCACAGCATTATGTTCTCAGCCTGGTCATGGCATTCCCCACACTGTATTATTCTTTCTTGTTTACTTTTCTGCAGCTCCCTGATGGACAGTGACCTGTTCCTTATTTACCACCCTATCCCCAGTGCCGAGCGTATAGTGAATACTCAATAAATACTAGCTGAAATGAGTTACATTTACAGTTTCCAAGTATTTTCAGCTATATAGCATTTTTTAAATGTCCTATGATTCCCTTGTAGTGCAATGGTAAAGAATTCGCCTGCCAATGAAGGAGATATGGATTCGATCCCTGATCCAGGGAGATCGCCTGGAGTAAGATATGGCAATCCATTCCAGTTCTCCTGCTTGGAAAATCCCATGGACAGAGGAGCTAGTGAGCTACAGTCCATGGGGGTCACAAAGAGTTGGACATCACTTAGCAACTGAACACACACACACACACACACACACACACACACACACAAAGTAGGCTAGGTGTAAAGAGTATTCCCATTTTACAGACGGTCCAACTGAGGTGAAGTCAGTTTGTAAAGGTCAATCAGCTAGGACAGTGGTACCACACCTTTCTAATCTTATGATATTTAACTTAGTTCACCTTTAGCCACACCATATTTTCCACTGTTTTTGATATAACACATATTTAGCTCTGGGCTGAGTTTAAATGGTACATTTTCCCCCAAGTTTTTTTTCTTTAACCTTTATCAGAGGAAATTTCCAACATGTACAAAAACAGAGAACAGCATACTGAACCCCTGTGTATGCACCACCTAGTTTCAACAATTATCAACTCATAACCAATCTGGTTTCCTCTGTTCCTCACCCACTCTTCCGTCTTCCAACTTACTGCAAGTAAAATCCCAGACATTAAATCATTTCATCTATAAATATTTCGGTTAAATAGTGAATTAAACACATCATTCACAGGCATATTCACAACTGGTAGTGTTAAAAAGGTTCATAAATGGGGTCCTTCCTTATAGTTCAATAAGAGAAGTAAAAATACTAATTATTTCCTTGTTGTTACATGTGGGTGTTAAAGCCACACCAGTATCTCTCTCCTGGTGTTTAATCATCAGCATTCAACCACTCCGGGTAGGGTGATACAGATTAAAGCACAGGTAAAATAAACACAGAATTTTCAACTGACTCAGAAAAGTGGATCTTAGAACTTCTCCCACTTGAACAGAAGGCACACTAGGATGCTCGCAGCTGTTAACAATTATTATAGCCCTTTTTTTCCCCTCATGTAAGTTATCAAACCAGTCATGTCAGAAGGTCAACTGCCCCAGTCTAAGTGGAAGACCTGCTTGTGCTTCACTGAACACAGATGCTGTCACATGAGATCCAGTCTGTGCTTCTGCAAAACTGAAACAGTGAGCTCAACTCTCAAAGGAAACTTTCTTGTTCAAACATAAATCTTTGACGCAGAACTATCTCAAAAGCGATGAGAACCAGGTTGTACACTAGTAAAACATCATCACACTCATGAGCTCCCACGCCAGGTTGTGCAATAACATAATGGATCCATAAATCTATGGAACTATCCATGGCGCCAACAACAGGGGGTGGAGAGTTTTAAACCCTCTTAGATACTGTAAAAATTGTCCGCTGCCAGTAAAGCAGGCTGGGAAGTTTACATTTTCCCCAGAGACTTCACAATGAGAAGCAGGCTAAGGGAGCTGCCAGCACATGGTTTCATTCTGCAAACAAATCATGAATCAAGACGCACACACACACTGTATGTGTGTGTGTGTGTGTGTGTATTACTCTGATGAAGTTAACATTTCATGTAAGACTGATGCAATAAATCTTGTTTCACAAAGATGCAGCGAACCATACAACTACTCTATTTCCAACTATATAACTGTTATCACACTCAGCCCCCTCATTTTATAGATGTCTGTAATCTCTAAAGTGCTAGTTTTCATAGTATTCCTGTAACTAATACCTACTGAGCACCTACCATGTGCCATACACTGTTCTAAGCACATAACACACATCAGTGAACAAAGAATAAACATAATCCAAAATAAACATTATGTCAGAAGGGTGCACGTGCTAGGGAAAACAAAACGTGCAGTGCAGGAGGGGCCGAGGGGGCAGGTTTCTGAATGATGGGGCATCAGGGAGGAGAGGCAGGCAGCCAGGGGCGGGGGGCAGATGGTAACGGAGTGTCCAGGTGGAGACCCCCCCAAGTGGGAGCACGCATGGCACGTGTGAGCAGGAACCAGAGGGCTGGGAGTGAGCAAGTGGGGAAGGAGCGGTGAGCAGGGAGGTCCAAGTGGCCATGGGGTTCAGGTCATCCTGGCTCCTGGGCTGTGGGCAAGATTTTCACTTTGGTTCACGGGGGAGTCTCTACAGGTGTTTGAGAAGAACGGCATGACCCTGGTGACACGGACTACTAGGCTGCAGGGGAGGGGAGGCCAATGAGAGGTCACTCCAGTGATGGTGAGAGCAGAGGCACAGCAGAGCTGAGCGAGGTGCCAGATACACTTAGGGGGCAGTGCTGGTGGGGTTGCCTGATGGGTCGGCCATGGGATGTGAGGAAACAAGGGGAGGGAGGGACCACCCCAATGCTTTTCTCCCAAGTGATGGGAGGGGGCGTGGCATTGTCCTCAACTGAGACGGGAGGGCTGTGGGCAGAGTGATTGAGGGGGAAGAGGATGAGTTCCAGTCTGGACAAGCTGATAAGAATTTCAGAACAGCAAGTGACTTTTTCCCAATCTGCCTTCAGTTTTTCTTGTTAATTTGCCACAAACTTGGCCATGAATAAAAAAAAAATACAATTAAATTCTTTTCCAGGGTTTCAGGAGTTCAGTAGCTAGTGAGATTTCTCTGTACAGAAATGGTGTGTTACTCTGCTATACTTAAAATGGATAACCAGCAAGTACCTACTGTACTGCACAGGGAACTCTGTTCAATGTTATGTGGCAGCCTGGATGGGAGGGGGGTTTGGGGAGAAATAGATACATGTATGTGTATGGCTGAGATAGATAAGAATTTATCTTATATAAAATTGTCTTATATAAGAATTTATCTTACAAAAAAATAAGAATTTAAGAACTTCAAATGGAGATGTTCAAGTCGGCAGCTGGACATGTGGCTGGCTGTGGGGCTCAGAGGACATGTGCTGAGGTACAAACCTGGGAATATTATATTTGTCACTGATTACGCACACGCAACATGCTTTTACACAGAGAAGAATAAGACCAAGAACCATAAAACAAACAGAAGGAATTAACTGTTCACTGACAGAATCAATGATCATGTTCATTTCAACCACTTGAATAAAATGAAGAAAAAACTGTATTCATTGTTCCTTCCCAAGATGGGAACTTGCTTTTTTGTAAATATCTCCCGGAATCTGAAAGTGACTGTGTTGAACAGAAATGAGCTCACAAGCTGGGATACTAAATAGTTTTCAGATCTTGAGAAACACCAAATAGATTACTGAAGGAAACAATGGTGTATAAGAGACATTTCCACAAAAGAATTTAAATGAAACAGTCTTTCGTTTTTAAGTGTCTGTCCTTTCTGTCTTACTCATCTCTCAGGATGTTTAAGTGTCCAAAAAGTTTCCTTTCCAGATTTTGTTTCTAATACATGATGACACCAGGCTAGGTTGCTCTGGATGGAGGGAGGGAGGTGGGTGGAAGTTCTACAGCTGCAGAGGATGATGCAACTTTCAAAAATTCATCTCACTGAAAAATGGAAAACCCTTTAAAGCTGCGGAAAAACCTGCAGTAGCAATGTTGCCAATACCCCATCCCCCAAGCCTGCTGGCACAACCGTCAAAGAAAAAATTTCAGCACTAAATCAAATTAACAAACATTCCTTAAGCACAGCACGAGTGTAGCTTATTACAATCTGGAAAATTCCACAGTATTTATCAAATCTTAAGCAAGGCTATGATGCTTAGAAGTGTACCACAGTAGACGTCACTGACAGCCACAAGCATGACGGCTCGGGGTGTGTTGCTGTGGCAACCGAATAGTCAGCAGCAGCACGCTGTCTGCCTTTCACCAACCCAGAACCAGGGACAGGACAAACAGCCAGCTCCCTGACGGGAAAGACCCAGGCACTCGCAGCGAGGGCCATCTCCGCCATTCATGCACGCAGGAGACTTCCTTGTGGCAGTCTGAAATCATTTGCACCAAAGACCTTGAGAAAAAAATGCACAACCCCTTTCTCTAGTGCAGAAGCAGTCAACATGCCCCAGCACAAAGCACCAGAGAAACATTCCAGGAGAGGAGAGAGACTGGTGGCTGCCTGAAAAGTAGCAAGGTCATGTGTTTAGCTGAGACCAGGCGTGAGTGGCTTTTCTCCAGAGAAAACCAAGAAGGGCTGGTCTATGGGAAAAGTCACCCTGAGAAACGTTCCATAGACAGGAGATCAGTAAGAAAAGCAACAGTGAACTAGAGCATGAGCCTTTTTAAAAGCTGTCCTCATATAGAAGGAGAGCTGCCCACAAGGACAATGAGAGTCCAAGAGAGGCATAGGACATCTTAGGCGCCAAACCCTACAAGGTAACTTTTGGATACAGAACGTTATGTGGAAATAAAACAGAAACTGTTGAACATACCTTTTCCACCGGCAGAAAGTCATTTTCTACTTCAATCGACCTTGGTCTTAGCTTTATTGGCTTGTCTTTGAAAATATCTCCAAAGCCCACTCCCTTGACTTTCTTCGGCTGGATGGCAGCTGTTGCGACTGTGCCGTTGGCACCCTCAGATTTGGTACTGCTCGAGTCACCCCCGTCACTCTCGGAGCCTGTGGTTTCCCTTAAACCTGTCAAGAGCGGGGATGGGGAAAGAAAGAACTCAGAAATCAGCCACAGCCACGAAGTACCTCATAGCCAGCCAGGAACCACTGCTCCAAGTATCACAGGGTACAGGATAACTTGCATTGCCATTGTTCATTTAGTGTGTAAGATGTTGCAGGGAGGTGGCTCTGAGTTTTGTTCTGCCTCCCCAGCCTTGAATTTTAAGAAGTGAATCAAAACTTTTCAGAACATCTAATTTGAAAGCAGATGCCTCTGTCAATGTGATATGTCATCTCTTTTCAGCCAGAGCCTGGTTCTTAGCCAAATTTGTTTTGGTGCAGTCTATGCAGTAACAACCTTTCCTGCCCCTTCCTCACCTCCCCACCCAGTCAGTACCACATACTGTACCTCTGATCTCTATGACATGTCAATTAGCAACGGAAGTAACATTTCCTAAAGGGAAACTGTAAAGCTAAAAGCCAGTTAAACAAATTAGCAATTAAAGAAACCACACAAAATTATGACTGCCAAAGAATTAAATCTCTAGATGGCTTTACAAGGAATAAATGCACACAGACATGTTTCTCTAGGAAAGCACTAAACCAAACTTGACACTGAAACGCTTTCACTGGCAAGATGATTGTATTTGTTATAGAAGGAAAGGAAGCTGCCTTGTGAGAGGCCAGAATGCCCCAAGCCTCCAGCTCTTCTTCCCTCCCCTAACAACAGTTTCCCTGAAGCTGAACTCCTTTCCAAAGAAGAACACTGGGGACATGACACCTTTCCTTGGACTTCCTGTGGTCAAACAGTTATCAGCATGACAGCGTGGACACTTACCTCCCCAGATTCCTTTTTTCCCAGGCTCTGCCCATAATCATGTTCCTAAAAGGAAGAGCCTATTTGTTTCTAGTTAATTTCTGGGTCTACATTCTTACTTTGATGGCCAGTACATTAGTCATGGCATCAAAGGACAAGAATCAAAGGATATTTTATGAAAAGTCTACCATTAAGCTTGTCTCTAAAAGACTCGAGATGTGCAGAGTAGCTCCTGAACATTGACTGTGTATCTGCTGATGACAATGATGCCCTTGTTCTCTCTTAGCCACACTGTGCATTATCTTCCTACAGGTAAGGTGGCCTCCTAGTACCTAAGAAAGATATATCAAATCACTGCTCGCATAAACTGTCATAAAATGTCGAAGTCATTCATACAGACAAGTCTCAGTGCAGGAAGAAACTGTTAAATGAAAACAGAGAAAAATATAGAAAGGTCATTAAAAATCACTAACATGTTTCAAAATCAAATCTTTTAAACAATGGCTGTGTTTGTTGTTGCTGCTGTTTGCAATAAAATGGTAATTATAAGCCAAGAAGGGGCTGGGGAGGAGGAAGATCCCAGGTGTACATTTTAACTAACTAAAGAACAGCATTTATGAGCAAGAACAGAGGGCATAAGAATGAGGAACAGCCCACAACAAGGGGGTCGGCTGCAATTTACAGGACTGGATGCAAGTGTGCAAACATGGAGAACCTCCCTGGATTAGCTATCCATTCATGTGTTTATCTGTTCATTGTTTTGGGAAATATCCCTGCTGGAGATATAATTTTGGAGTCTAAATATTGTGTCATTTCCCCTTTAACATGTTCTCATTTTGCCGTATGGATTCTTTCTGTGTGATAAATGGCTTGTATATTCTTTTCTGCTTTGGAAGGAAGCATTTGAGAGTGGAATAAAGAAATGGTTAGTGAATAGAAACCATCATTGTGCCATCACCTTGCCCCCCAACCACCACCAGCACCATCAGCAGAAGGCAGCAGGGCAAAGGGAATAGGGCAAGGCTGTTACAGTTTTTCAAAGAAAAGAATTTGAAGGATTCTTTTTATCATTCCTCATTACCTAGAAACATAATATTTTCAACCACTGGCATTCTGATTTCACTGAGCTTCTGGTTTTAGGGATTTGCCACTTTCCGGGCTCACCTTAATAATTTTGCATTAATCACTGTGAGAAATACTCTTTATGTTACACAAGGAGAGGTTGCAGGGTCATTCAACCACACAAGCATGGGCTGGGAAGGAAACACACGGCAGATTTTTCTTCCAGAAATTCTGGTAGCCTGCTTCTATCACTTTTCAGTACGATACAAGTTAAATATCTGAATATCTAGATTGATGAAAAACCTCAAAATCTAGTACCTTCCCTTTGGCGGGAAAGAAAGGTGGCTTTTCATGTTCACGTCTGTTTGGTGCTGTATCTTTTGGTCACTGGTGCTCATAACACACACTACTGTGTAAAATATCCTTGTGTCATGCTTGGCATGCCACATGACACCCGAGGGCAAGGAAATGCAAAGTGTGGTCTGTGGACTGGGGCCAGGTCATGAAGGGTTCATTACTGAAACACTGGGTAATAAGCACAGAAAGTGTCCGTGCACAGAAACACTTATAGCAGTGTGTGCTGGTGTGACTTCCAGACGTGTGGCCCACAGACTTGTTTATGTGAATGGAGCATGGACTAGTCTTGGTTTGTCTGCTCCTGCGGGGAGGCACAAGAGGTGCAGCACATGCGCAGTGAAGGCATGTCCAGCAGGACCAGGTATCTGTCCGCAGGGGGATGGAAATAAAAATACACTTTGCTGCAGACACTTTGAGAAGCCTGACTCTGGAGTTCATGCCTAAACCTTCTCTTTCATAGTCGTGTATACATCTCTATGCACACATATGTGTATACATCTTTATGTGCACATATGTATATATGCACACTAAGGAGGATGATTTTCCTTTGCCGTGAGAAAAGAACAAAGCTTCCTCAGGTTTGCTATCGCCACTCATATAATTGGCTGAATTACAGAAAAGTCATTGTCAATAATTTCCTTAATATTCCAGCATTAATCAATTCAAATCTTTGAGCCATTTTTATTTATTTTCAGTTTTACACTCACATGTGTAGTGCTTACTGTATGGCAGGCCTGTTCTAAGAACTTCACGAGATTCATTCATCAATCTCATTTATCTCCATCCCCTCAACTTTTGGCAGCTTTCTTTCCACTGCACCAAAGGCTACACCCTGGTCCTGCCAAAAAGAAGTCTGCCGTGTGGTGATTGGCTGAATGAGCAAAGCAAAATATCATTTCTGGCATGGACTGTTCGTGCCCACTTCTTAGTTCTTTGAACCGCGCAATGAGGCAATGACTTACTGACTGACCCACTCAGTAAAAGCAATAACCGCGAAGGGTTGACATCTCCATGAGAAGCCATCTTACAGCACTCCAGAGGGGCAGATACTGGGACAAATACATATGCCATGACCAGTGTTACGGATCCCTTCTCTGCACGCATGGTTCATGCACGCATGTCACACACATGACAGGCACAGAGCAGACAAGACAGCGCCGGGGGCTGGCGATGGGAATGCTCCGCAGCACACGCCAAGGAGACGGCGCTTATCTCAGGTGAGTAAGCCCACGTCCTTGGATGAGAAACTCACAGACACTTGGCAGAAGCATGAGCAGCTCAGGGGAGTGCAGCTGCATCAAAAAACACAAGTACCCAGATCTTATCTTTACAAATGCCTCCTGCTGTTAAGGTCACTCACTGTAATAGCGTCTGTGGCCCTCCGTCTTTCCTGGCGCAGCTCGGTACAGAATTGTCCCTTCAAAGGTAGTCTTTCCTGACAGTGAATGAGAAAAGAGAAGGGGAGAGAAAAACAAGAGGGGGGAGGGGGAGCAAGTGATGGCAAAAGAAGGAAGAGGGAGAGTCTTTAACTGAACTTGTCTTCAATGAATCCACTTTAAGCTTCATCCACAAAATTAATTAGAAATCATAAAGGCAGAGTTTAAGAATGTTATAGAATGAGCCCAAAGTCCCCATGCAACCATGATGGCAATGAGCCCAGAAACTGGGGCTCACCTCTCTGAATGCCTGGCATGTGGATTATGCCAAATTTAAACCTGGAAGTCACTTCCACATTATACCTCAAGAGCAGGAAAATCTCAATTAACCACAGGAAATCTAACCAATCAGATTTCTTAGGTAACTCAATCTTCTCTTTGCAGAGTGTGACTTGAACAGAATATAGATTTTGGTCCATTATCTTTTAACTTATACCCCTAGGGCCCAGGATGATACAAACTGATACTCATGACCCCAAGAATCTAAGCAAGGCACAGAATCCTTTTTAAAAGATTTTTCATTCTTAGTACCTTTAAGCAAGAAAATGTACTAGAATTCTAGAAAAGGGTTTTTGTCAATGAGGTTTGAAACCAATCGTGACTTCCATGTTGATGTAAGGGGTTTTCTGCTTAGCACCAAAGATGCCAGAAAACCCTATTCCTTAAACCATCTTAACTGAGGTTTGCCATCAGTCATGAGACTGCACTAAAGCATGAGGACATAGGACTCAGCCAGTGTCAAATTATCTCCTTTTTTGTTGTTACAAGTAGAAGTTATCGATAGCACAAGACTGGGCACATGGCTAAAGCCCAAATCTCTCTGGAATCATGAGTAAGTACATAGACTACACACACTCTGCCCCAGTCTGAGTGGACGAACACACACACACACACCCTACAGAGAGTACCATTAGGAGGTAAAACGGTTTAATAAAGGCAAACAATACATGCATTACTCTAAGTTATCCAAGAAACAGATCCTATTATGGTTGTGAGCTAAATATCAAACTGGAGGCCACATAGCTCCCTCATAATAAGTCCAAAGGATGAAAAAGTAGGCTACATTTACAGAGAGGTAGAGAGGAAAACCGAGTAACAGAAAGCAACTTGTCTCACTTTTTAGAAACACTCTAGGAAAATGGGAAACCCCATTAGGGACCATCATGTCAACTTCTGGGCCATGTCACTCCTAATACGTAAAAGGAACTGTAACTGATCAGATCAACAAATTAAATAGAATCAGGTATTGCCAATTTCTGTGTCCTACAGACAGGGTGGTACACCACTGCTTTGAAATCTGCCCTTTTTGACAGATTTGCTCCATCTAACTAAAGCAAAAACTTGGACATTCAAAT